CAAACAAACAAACAAACAAACACAAAAAAAATACACAGCGCTGCGTTGCCAAATATTTTTACGATCCAAAAGAAAACATTCATGTCCAATTTTAACGGCCCTGTGGCAAGCGTGTTGGAAAAAGAAATGGAACTGGAAAGTATTCACAGGTCATTATTTTGTCAACCTTTTGTCGTTTAAGCCTTAACAACAATGTGCCAAATTGTTCCCCTGTTGAGCTGGCGGTGTCTAAAGTCGACAAGTTACTTTTTCCATGCTGTAGTTTTGGAAAAACTACATTGAAGCCACTTCACCGCATTCTGACCCATTCAACTGCAACGTCGGACTTCACCGGCGTTTCCCAGGGCTCTGTCGTGAGGCCCCATTCTTTCATTCATTCGTGTACTTCTCCGTGGCCAGATCTACAATGAACATTTACGTATTGACATATAGAATGATTTTAATATTCATGGCTATGCATTTGACATGAAGCTCTACTTCTCCATCAAAACCACACCCTGGGTTAGGGGCACGGGGTTAAGGGTTAGAGGTTGCAGTTAGGATTCACGGTTCGGCATGAGGGGGACGAGTTTGGGTTGGAGTTCAAGTTCAAGGCGATTTAGATTTTCGGGATAGTGGTTAGCTTTAGGGTTAGGATTTGTGGTTACGTTGCTGTTTGGGTTTGAAGTTGTGATTAAGGTTCGAGTTTGTGGTTGGGGTCAGATTAAGAATTAGGATTTAATATTTGGGGTTATGATCTCCGGCCATACTTGTATTTCATTCTTAACCCTGAAGGCAAGTTCAACGAAATTATTTTCATTGCCAACCATTTCCATTCTTGTACTTTTGTTGCCTTTTATCATCTAGTTCATCTCCACATTTATTTTGTTCACTCATCTGAGCTCAGCAGCGGTCTCCTACCACCATTAAATTCACTTTAAATGTCCTGCGGCCGCTTCACCTTCCCCGTTTCAAGAGCCAATGTCAAAGCTTTTTGTCGGCCGGAGGCTTGAAAAAGGCATAAATACAGCAGAGAACCATTAAAGCAACGTACACATCAAGTGTGATGCGATGTCATGCATTGACGAGTGCGATAAAAGCGATCATCTGCCGACCGCCATCAAGCCAAACGACGTTTGAGAAATTTGGACTAAACGAAGCGAAGGTGAAGCAGCCTGACCAAGTCGGACACGAAAAATGATGCGCCAGCGCTGCCCAACCGATAAAATTCTTTAACACCCGGCCCATAAAGTGTCATTCTCTGTTAATCTGTGCTTCTATCTTCCGTGGAAATGCACCTGTGCCATGAAATTACAGTCTCTTGTGGTAGTTGACACCATTTGGTGCTATTTATGAAAGAGCAAGCCTGGTTTCATGATAGTTGAGTGAGATTTTGTGCAAAAAAAAAAAAGTGAGGCTGCAATTGCAAGAAAAGTGACCTATTTGTAGTTTTGAGGCAAAATGTCATTTACTTTCCAATCCATGTTCATATTTGTGCTTTGGCAAAGTACCCCTTCAAAACACCTTTGGACGGAAAAAAAGAAATCAAAATCACTTGCGGCAAGGTTGCCGTGTCGGCCACAAAGCGTTTTAGTGGAGTGGAGACACGAGTACCAGACCTACTTTTGAAAGGCTGGCAGAGGGAAATGGGAAAAAAAAGCATTGCTGTGTTTTCCCACCGCGGCGAGCCACAAAAGGCCACTTTGTATAAAGAATTCAGAGGCGACACGAGGCGTTCATGTGGGCGACATGTCCGACGCGGGACGGGAACGTAGCGACAACTTAGCCGCCTCCTGAGGTGTGAAATGCATACACAGACCATGCTGTGCTTTTTATGGAAACGTGTCATTGCGCTCCTGGCTTGTGTATTATTCAGGAATGTGGATATCTTCACTTTTCGGCATTTGGGCAACGAATCGTTTCATCTCATCCTTTCGCAAACGGTGTCTTCATGTGACTTCATTGTACCAACATACCTTTACCTATTGTCATTTATGGGAAATGATATGGTGGTGAAATGATGATACAGGATGATATTTTGCTAAAAATGATACAGGAAATCAAGTCATTCAAATGAAAACACTGGAAAATGTGGTAAAAATAACGGGGGGAAAAATTCTTGCTTAAATGATGAAATGTGAAAATAGGTTGCTAAAATGACGGCAAGAGTGAAAGATATTTTGAAAAAGGCATTTTGCAAAAATGGCGATAAGGGAGATGCTATGTGAAGATACATTGCAAAAACATACAGTTATATCCGTAAACTAACAAAGGAATTTGGTCATAAGATGATACGGTAAGACAAAATTGGAAGTCGTTGAAACAACGATACAAAAGACGTCCAGACACGTTTGTCAAATGATGATACTGGAAGATATTTTGGTTCGATGATGACATTAAGACACCGTGCTATGATAACAAAAGAAGAAAATATGATGGGAAAGTGACGATACGGAAAGATGTTGGTAAAATGATGACGTGGAAATGTAAAAAAAAAAGACAATACCTAAAGATATAAAAAAAAAAAGACAATACCTAAAGATATATGCGAAGCGCTTGGCTGTGCGGCGCATCGAAGTGCGCGGCCACCCTCTACCTCCGGTGTCAGCGCAGAGTCGCATGACGATCATCACCGTATTGGTGCGCCATTAAATAATACACATGCCATTAAACATGGAGCACGTGCTATTATCGCGAGGCCCATCAGGACGTCTCCATCTTCCACTTAATCCTTTGAGCCCCCCCTCCAAACCCCCTCAATGATTTACACCAATGCAATGAGACCTCGGTGACCCGAGCCAATGGAGGGGCAGCGAGTTGGCTGACCCCCACCGCGCTGTTAAAGATGCATTAATGTCGCACGGCGGCGGGCGTCCTCCTTGAACAATTATCGCAGCTGAAAGCACAACGTGCATCGGCATTTTTCACGATACTGCTTTTCACATGTTGTTGTTCTAGCACGCTGTCTTCAAGCATTGGCATTAAAACAGCCTAGCATATAGTAGCATGTTGTTATATTAGCATTATACCGTACCATACAATAACTTTATGTATGACCTTTTTAGGAACGTGACGTATTATCATTTTTACAACCTAAATTGGACATTTAAGCAATGTGTGTCCCGGTATTGTCATTTCCTGTTTCATCCTTTTCGCAAATAACGCATCTTCATTTGAACACGTCTTCACGTTTACGTCGTATCGTGCGACACGGCGGTCGACTTGGTGACCACGTTTGTCGCGCAGCGGAGAGGTGCAGGGTTCAATTCCGGCGCCCAGCCGTCCTGTGTGGAGTTTGTTCATGTCCGTGCCCGCCTGGGTTTTCTCCAGGTACTTTTGGTTTCGTCTCACATCGCAAAAAACATGCATGGCACAGAGGCTAATGGAACACTCTGGATTGTCCCGAGGTGTGAGTGTGTGCGTGAATGGCAGTTTGTCTCTGTGTGGCCTGCAATTGGCTGGCCACCGGTTGAGGGTGTGACCCGCCTACTGCCCGAAGACGGCTGGGATAGGCTCCGGCACCCCCCCCCCGCGACCCTCGTGAAGATAAAGCGGTTCAGATAATGGATAGACGGTTTGATGTTTTTGCAACACAACTTTTCATATTTTCTTAACCTAAATATTAACGTTCAACCGCACATACACTATTTCCCGATCGTCATTTTAGCAGCATGGTTTTACTTCAGCTCAAGACAACGAGAGGGACATGCTAAGCACAGTTCAAAGATGCTGTTGAAAATCAACAGGATTCTCTTAATTCACATTGACATCACTTCAAGAGCTCAGCAGGAGATTTCCGTCTTAAAAAAATAAAAAATAAAACACCAAAAAAAAACGATATGATGTCATGCTTGAAAATAGATGACTCGGCTTTGTGGCTCCGTCATCCTCAGCCGTGAAAGAAGTCTTTTTATCTCATGTTATTTCTGGACTTCCTTTGTAGTATTCGTGACAAAATGAGACAGGAAGTGTAGTCCGGACACCCTTTCACAGGACACAATATTAGATACTCACTGACTGCTAGTTAAGGGCCCTTTTCAGAAACATGGAGATTTATTGCCATTTTAGCAACATATCCATATGTCATATTGTCATTTCAGGATGACATTTAAGGATGTGTGATACCACTTTTTTACAGAACGATACCAGCAAAAGACTATTCGACTCTTTGAATACATGCCCAGTTCCCATCGCGCTACTATGTTTGATATCTGAAATTTAATTTAATACAATGACTCAAACATTTGAATCTTTCTTTCTGATAGAGATGATGATTCGCCGGGGTATCAAACTTATGGCCGCAGCATACTCCGGTTGAGCAGGACTCAATGCCAGATTTTTTTATTTTGTCTTAAGTATCGGGGACTGGTGTCGGCAGCCTCCATGAGCACCTTCTAGTTTAGAATAAGGCCGGTATCTCGCCATGTTATAATTTCAATACAATATCTTGCTGTAGCATCATGATTTTAGCAACATATCTTTCTGAATGGTCATTTCAGCACGATCCGTATCATAATTTTAATATTTCTTCCTGTTTCATCATTTTGTATCTTCCCACACATTGAACGTATATTTGCATTTTGTTTCATGTTAGTTACGTATCGGCATTTTAGTAACCTATCTTTAAGTATCATGTGTTAGCAAACTATCCTCACGCATTGAAACAACGTTATGGTACAAGTCAACCGCCAATCAAGGTTAGTTAAGGGCTCTGTTTAGGAAGGAATTATAAAATTCCTGGCTACTTTAATTCACACTCTTGCTCTGCTCCGAAGGTATGTCGTGTTTGTCCTAATTCTTATTTAATAATGAATTATGTCTTTCGAAGCGCCTGCGGGATTAGCACGAAAATGAACACACGTCTGTGGGCTCATGGTGCGGGTTGAAGAGCAATGTGACGAACTTTTATCCCCACACCTTGAAGCGATGATACCAATGCGAGATACGGCGTCTGTTTACACACTGTTTCCTTGATTCTTTATTTGAAAGGCTCAATTATAATTCCTTTTTGTGTCTGCTAGGTTCCTTCAAAGGCATGTGCAAGCAGATAGATCACTTCCCGGAGGATGCCGACTATGAGGCCGACGCTTCAGAGTACTTCCTACGTAAGTCCAATCGTTATCAGTACGGGTCTACTTTCATACATTTTCAGACAAAAGGAAAATGTTTTACGTGTGCCTACTGGTCCGAAAAATACGGTTTACATTTTTACGTATCATCATTTAGATATATCCTTTATTTGTCCCACACTGGGGAAATTTTACAACCACACGATATCATCCGGTATCGTCATTATCGGATCATGACATGTATAAAAGATGATGTCCAAAGGTGACAAACTGAACTAAAATTTGCCCAATGTTACCTTCCCACGTTGTGTTGGACGTTGGCAAAAGTCAACAGACCTTTTGAGATGTTTTTTTTTCTCCTCAACTTTTAAGCAACTCGAAGGTGAGTTTAAACCCCTCAACAATGACCACTCTCGTGCAGACGAGTCAGGCAGTGCCTGCCCACAAAAGGGCAGCAAGGAGGAGGACCGCGTGACAGGAGGGTAACGTTTGGGGAGGTGAAGGGCAAGGAGAAGGGTAGCGAGGCTGTCGCCGTCTCCCAGCGGCCCGCCAATTAGGACACTTTGGTCTATAAATACTGCCAAGCGGCTGCGTTATGTGGGTCAAACCTCATCTCGTCCTCCCTGGTGTCCTCCCTGCCCATCTGTTTGTACATCCCCGTCGAGGCCCGACAGCTGGTCCTCGGCGGGCGAGCGGCCGGGTGGATAAACGGAGTGACGGGCATGAGCGGGATATTTGGCGCGGACAACCGCGCGGGTGATCCCCCTCGTTTGCTAGAAATCAGAAATGACAGTATGAGATCCGAATTTTATGAACCTATCTTTGGATCTACAGCCACTTTGCAATTCGGTTATGATGGCTTAAGTCTCTCGTAAGGGACATCGCAAGCTGTGTTCGTGAACCATCGACATCCAGTATGAGCCGTTTGACGACATCTCAGTTGCCCCGGAACCTGTAACGGTTTACATTGCAGAGCCAGCTGGAGAGCTGCTCTGAGATTGTGAACCGAGACATGGGGTTTCATTTGTGACGTTTTTCTTGCGAATATTCTTCCTTTGAATATCTTCTTGTATCGTCGTTTTGCAACACATGTTTCCGTCGTGTCACTCTGGCAACATTATCTTCCCGCATCATCATTTTAGCAATATCTCTGCCGAGATCTTCATTTTAGGAACGTATCTCCCCGCATTTTAGAACATATATTCCCAGAGCCTGGTTTGGCAACATACAGTGTCTTCCCACTTCACCATTTTCGACCAATATTGTCCCACATTGTCACTTTTGCAACCTGTCTTCCGTTATTGTTATTTTGACCAAACATAACTTCAAATGTGATCATTTTAGGTACATATTTGAATCCATGGTCATTTTCAGCAACATAACTTTTGTTATTTTAGTATCTTCCCATATCATCATTTACCAACCTATCGGTCAGTTTCAGGACATATCTTCATGTATGGTCAGTTTAGCAACGAATCGAAAGTAACCGGCATTCGAGGCCCCCATTGCGCTCGACCTTCGAGGTTCTGTTTTCACGTCTTTGGTCACCTCGTGTGTCAAGCGAGTGCATCTGGTGTCCGCTGACCTACATTGAGCAGAAGCAGATGCACTGGAAATGCTGTAGGGAAACGGCGAGAAGAGTGTGACAGCCGTCCTGACTGCTACATAGCTGGAGCTTCACCCTAAAAGTGAACACAAAAGTCAGCATTATTATCTTTCCTTTGCCGTTGTCATGCTCGCCCAGTGCCATCTGTGCTACATTTCTGTCTTTTACTTGTATTAGTATAGCAAAACATGTGAAATGGGCTCATTGACACCAAATCAGTCCGGCCGTGACTCGCAAGCCAGGCTGGAGGAAGATCCGCAATTTTCACGCGCGTGGAACCACGATCAAATCGAAGACGAAAGCTAAGCAGAGCTGCAATGTTGGAGCAGAGTAGCGCGAGTTCAGAGCCTTAGCGACGTTAGCTTCTGATGAGCAGCACATTCGAATGTATGGAAAAGTTGACGACACGTATGAGGCGTGTGCCACACGCAATGATTCTTGACAACGGTGGTTCTCAACGTTTTGACGTACCACCTGAAAAAAACCTCTCCGGCTGTTATGGACAACATTTAAATACAGTAGCGTAGTAGGCCAAAGTGTTTACCACAAAACAAGGCAGGGGGTTGGTGCTTCTTTTTTCCGGTTCCATCTTTTTTGAAATTGTTTTTTAACATGGCAATTATAAGTGAGTGCCAATATCAAATTCACCCACACGCAATTTCTTTTTCAAAACGCAAGCCCACTTGATCATATGATGATATGTTTCCTTTTAAAACCGCACGGTGACCAACTGGTCAGCACGTCTTCCTCACAGTGCGGAAGTCACAGGTTCAAATCCAGGCTGCGGCTTATCGATGTGGAGTTGGCGTGTTGTCCCCGTGCCTGCGTGGCTTTTCTCCGGATACTCCAATTTCCTCCCACATCGCACAAACATGCACGGTAGGTTTATCGAATGCTCAAAATCGGCCCTCGGTGCGATTTTGAGCGCAAATGGTTGTTTGTCGATGCGTGCCCTGCTATGGGCTGGCAACCGGTTGAGAGTGTACCACACCGACTGACCAAAAATCGGCTCCAGCATGCCCGCAAGCCTCGTGAGGAGAAACGTACAGACGGCCGTCTCCCTTTAATGTCATCGCCGCAAATAGGTGATCAAATCGTCTTGAGAAACAATGCCGGATGACCACTCGTATCATGCGGTCATCCTTTAATTTGGATTCCTCCCTTCCCGGAGCGTTGTCATCACATCATCTCCATCATCATAATCATCATCCTTCAGCCGCTCCAAGTGGCTAACAAGGCCCCCCCCCCACACACAGACACACACACACACACTTTCCTGGCCTGGTCGGATGTGTACATGTGGATATTATGTAAGCGAGAGAAGCCTGCCTTTCTATGAGCACTGAGGGAGAAACATAGCTCACCCCCTCCGGCAGTTGCAACGCCC